TCTCAAATATACTTCCAGAAAGGAATTTTCTGCTTTGAAACCAGATTTAGTTTTCAAAACTATGTTGTATCCTAAAGCAGATTTAAATAGGAAACAGCAGTAATTCACATAGAATTCAAAAGGAAGAAAAACATTGTTGGGACCTACTGGAGGTTAACCTTGTGATGGCCCTAAGTCATTTTATGAAGTTGGATGGCTCTTCAGGTGCAATATGCTATGTCAGATGGCCATGCCTGGGAGGTCTGAGGTTTAGGGACTGATCAGAACATAGTTTTGCTTGATTGATATCAAGATTAGGATAGAAATGACTGCAAGTGACCCCTGCTGAATATGGGCTGCTAGTTTTCTCCAAGTAAAATATCTTGGAATCTTGCTGTAAAAAGTTTGCTCTTTCTTGTAACTTAAAAAAGAGAAAAAAAAACTGTGTGAGAAAATTCTGTTTTTGATTAATTTGTTTATAAATAAGTAAAGAAGGCAACAGTGGTTGAGATCAGTTTTAAACAATGCAAAAATTCTTTGTTGCTGTCATATAGAATGGTTAAGTGCACTTGAATTGCAATACTGATGGTACCTCTTAAAAGGAGCTTAATTTTAGCCTTACTCCTATACACTAATTTCATTGCTTTGAAAGGTTGTTTTAGTAAGTGAAACAGAATATGGGAGCTTCAGGGCCTGTAAAGTTTTACTATATATTAATTTGAAACGTATCTGATTTTATAGTTGTTGATTGCCTTTTGGTGCAAATGCTGACTATCATACATTTATATTTCACTTTCTGTTACTTTGTCTTCGTTCTTCTATTTCTTGGTTCTATTTTATGTCCTTTTAATGTGTTAAAATGAAGGGAATGAAGTAGGAAACAGAAAAGAAAGTATTGAAATTTGTGGAAATATCTTTCCCTTCAAAATTACAGTGCTGCAGAATTTGTGTTATGGTATAGTTAGTGCAGAATTTATTTTTTAGGTTATACTGTGTGATTTCATACCTGGTACGTAAGAATACTGGCATAACAGTGAATGTCATAAATGAATTATTAGCTCATTTGGTTTTAATATATTTTTTATTTGCTAAAAGGCTTCTCAAGTTGTTTTACATTTTAGTAGAGTATGAGTTTTTACCACTGTTTAATCATTCTCATTTATTTAATATAAAAAATAACATTTGTCTTTTCTGTCAGCTTTGCTTCTATTTAAAATTCTGTGGAAAAACATCTGCTGATTTAGAATTTAAAGTTCCATTTTTCTGCATACAATAGAATCAGCATCAGTACGAAAAGAATTAAGCAATTATTTTAATCTTCAATTTGGCTTGTTTTCAATCAAATTACTTCATTATTTAAATTTATCAGACTCTGTGGAGTTAGAGAGATGTCTAGTTAATTAAAAAATATGTTTTTACAAATACATGAGTATTCATAGGTGAAGATAATTTCAGATTATTCATGGGGAGAATATATATGAAGATTCATCCAGTGTTTGAGAAATCCTCCTTTATTGCCTTTTAGTAAGATGTATTAATGTCACTGAAAGAGCATCTCCAGTGCTATCCTAAAAATGCATTGTGAAAATCAGAAGACAGTTTGTAAACACCTCATGAACTAATGAATGAGAAGAAAAATGCTTAGAATTCCAACTGTTTCAAGAAACTCTAGAAAGTACTACATGCTGCAAACATAAAATAGTTCAGATACTGAAAAGATATATATATGGGTACGTGTAAAAATTTTTACTGTGGTGTTATTTCATCAGTGTGTTAATTTTTGTTAAATAAAGCTTCCTTCTTTCAACTGAATTGGAAGGAATGCAGAGTGGTGTTAATGTGCTTCCTCTTACAACTACTGATGTTTCTCTTGCTGCCATCTTTCAATGGCAAAGTGCCTTTTCTAAAAGTTTAGGCAGTGCAAGGCAGATCAAATAATACTTTTAAAATTATGTGCAAAAGTAATAAGAATATTAAAGTTGGGGAGTTAGGCACCAGAAGTTGCCTGTTGCAACGTTCCAAGCTTAATGTAGTCTTGTTGTACGTATACGTTATGATAATTCTGTTTCTTGTTATACTGAAAATCTGTTTCAGATTTTCTTAAACTCAAGATTGTCATCTGTCTTTTTTTTCAGTTCTGTACTCCATCTCTTGTCTCTCACATACACTGAAAAGTTAAGTATCTTGAAGAAATATTATCTGATCATGTAAAAAGCTGCATTGCAAGTGATAGGCTCTGAGGGATCAAATTAATGCTGCATGAGAAGTGGAGTTGTCATTAAAATACTTTAGTTGGTGGTTTGTTCCTGCTTCTCCCTACAGTTATGCAAAGGCCTGGATAGCAGCTACACAACTGCTTTCAGCTTGCCAGTTGAAGAAATATGTACTAAAACTATCACAAAAACTAGCCTGTATCTGAGTAGTTTTGGAAAGACACTATCTGGTAAGGTTCCTTGGAGGTACAGTGAAGACGACTCATTGATTGTGGAGTTTTTCTGTGTTTTGAATTCTTATTACATTGTGATGAGCTTAACTTGTGATATTTCACAAAGTTATGCATTTTTGAGTCTGATGTTGTTTGCAGGAGAGGGAAAGTTTTGTTTTTGTTGATGTATGAACAGATCTCAAGTTCAGAGGCTTTGCGTTTTTCAAGCCATTGTCTGAGTTACTAAATTGAAGAAGCATCTAGCATCAGGAACTGGGCTGTGAGTTTTCACCATAATAATGCTTGGCTTATACCAAGTTGTTTTTAATAACTGTTTCTTAAGAATTATTTAGTTAAGGTCCCTAAATATGCCTGGATCAGACACCTCTGATCTGTGAATTGCTTGTTAGCACGTCCTCTTGGGTGACAGTAGTTTCCTCCTGTCCTTTTCTTGTGAGATTGCCTGCTAGTTCTGCTATAGCCATTTCCAGTTTAGAATTCCCGTTCCTCTCATCACTTGCATTGTGATGACATCTAAATGCTGGTATTTAAAATATATTTGTGTATTCATACGCACATTTGGAATGTTGTAGTTATTGATGAAAGCAGTGGAAGTAAAATTGGTCTTGAAAACCTGTGTTTGCTTCCCTGTTACTTTTATGGAAGTCATAAGCTCCCTTTGAGTCCTTAAAGATCCTGTTATGGATTGTTGATTGAGAATTCATTTCTTTGAATATGAATGCATATCCATGACAGCTGAAATCTGTGGACAAATTTTAGGGTTGAGACCTGAAGGTTCAACATCTGGCTGATAGAACAGGGATTATTCTGCTCTGAATTTGCTTTCTTCTGTAAGTCTCTGTCAAAACCTGACTGAGCTCATTTAACTTGAGGGAATGGTGTAAAGCCCTTCTGTTCACTGAGGCTTTTCCCTGGTGGAGTGGTGGTGAAGTGTAGTGATGTTCACAGATGTGATTGTGCTTTTTCAAATACTTAGTTGATTCTTTCCATATTATTGTGGGGTTTTTTGAAAGAAATTTTTAAAGCAAATCTTAATGGTGTAATGGGTTGTTACAGTCTTTGAAGGGGAAGAAGACTAATGATCTTGCAAATAGTTTCACTCATTTTGTATTCAATATTGAAATTACCGATTTAGTTTGGGAGATATCCTGTATCATACAGGTGACATTCAAATTCTAATCAAAACAACACTGAATCACAGAAACACCAAGGTTGGAAAAGACATGAACCCTTGTTGAGTGGTAAAAAGAACATCATGAAACCTATTCCTGGATGGAGAAGTTGTGTTTATCTGCAACATCATAACATACTGGAAGAGATTTGAGTTAACATTTTCACAAGAGGAACAGAGACAACATTATTGCAAAGATGCTTCAAGTGCAAATATTGGCACTGAATTACATTAATTTGTTCTTGTAGTTGTTTGAATGAATAATTTAATTAACTGAAGAAGATACTAAGGCTTGTCTACATGAGAAAGCTATGACAAAATAAGTAATGGTATGAATTTGAAGTATAATAGCTATTCAGCACTGACTCCTTACACGAACAATTTTATTCTGTACTGCAAATATCCTTTCACAATTTAGATGACTTAAAAATGTGCAAGTTCTTTCTAGCTCCAACAATGAATTAATATTTATGTAGCGAGTTTATGTAAGATAGCTACTACCTTAAAAAACATATATTGTTAGCTTATATTCTGTACTACATTGCCATCCTTAGAACATACTTACAGTCAAGTAAGGTTCATTATATTTCAAATGTATTCCTACAGATACTTGTATGCTATACATGGTGTCTATCCTGAGAATGTTTATAAAAAATGTTTCACGTGTTGATATTATGATTAAGTTGGCATTAGTATTCTTCACTGCAGGGTTCTTCACTGCAATCAAAGATGTTGGTCATACAGCTTTCCTGATGGTTGCATGTGTGATAAATTAATGTACTCATTCCCTAAATTAGGTTTACTTTCTTGGTTTAGTTGACACACAGAGACTTATAATGTAGAGACTATGACAGGATTAATCATGACCAATATTTAGGATTCAGTCATAAATAACTTGTTTTATAGCAGCAAAGTCACTAAAATACCTTTATTCTCTTAACGTGTTATTTTAAGAGTATGACAAGAGCTTGATTCCCATGCATTGTTGCATATGTAATAGATAAGTAACTAGGTAAACTAGGAGATATCCTGTGTCCAGCAGCATCTACACTTCTGCTTTCTGGCTTTCTGATGCAGTGAGTTACAGATACAAATATGAAGCATTCACATGAGGAAATAAGAAAATGATTGTAACGTGGATCTCTTAAACATGCGAAGGCAGTAATATTGTGCGTTAATACATTTTTGGTATTTATATGGTATGCATTTTGACTTTCCATGAGAATATAACATCAGATATTTTAATTTACTTGTTTTGCAGCTTTTATCTTCAAATTACTTTTGTTCTAAAGCAAAAATACATGTTATTTTTCAGGAGTTTTTATCACATTAAGATTTGCTATCTTCAAATGTTTTTCCATGCCTTTCTTAAATATACTTTCTATGGTTCTACAATTTTCAAAGAAAATAGAAAAGCTGGGATTAGAGCTGAATGGAAACAAGCAGCGTTTGGAACAAGCCCAGCAGGATGTGGCAGGAGCCAGAGAGGACTGCCTAAAATTGACAGAACTGCTGAGTAAATCTGAGCACCAACTGCACCTCACCAGGTACCCCTTATCCTATTACATGCTATAGTACCAATTTCATTCTGCTAATGTTTTTGCCACAGGCTTTCCCCACAGCTGATAGCTGCAGTCATTGCATGGGCAGCCCCCAGTCATATTAAAAGTGGAGGCTTGAATGGCTGAGTTATGAACTATAAGCAGCTAAAAGTGAATTACTAGTGTGAAGCAAAGGCCATGTTTAACTCCAGTGGTGAGGTACCATACTTGGAGGCAGGAAAAAGAGTTGGGAAGCGTGCAGCTACTTTCTTGTTCCTGTGTTTGGTTAGACAAGAGTACTTTAAAATGTCATTTCAGTCTGTAATGTTCAGCAGCACCCTTAAGCAAAGGAATTTGCAGATTAATAATGTGAAGTTTATGCAGGTGCATTATCGGAAACATATAAATGTACCTAATCATGCTAAGCTTCCTTGACAATTAAACAATCTAAAGGTAATGTTACTGTCTACACCTAGGAGATAAAATCAAGAACGTGTAGAGGGTGTTGAAGTCACTTGTTCAGTGGATATGTGACATTATTCATTACACATTTTCTAGAAAATAACAGAAGATTATCTTGCCAATAATTCATTCCAGCTTGAGTTTATTTTTTTTTTCCTTTTGTCACACGCAGCATTATTTCTTACTGCTGGAAGATTTTGGTTGTATATGTGTTGGTTTTTTTCTAACTCCTCCTCTCTTGTCACCTGAAAACTGAGTATCTAGATAGAAATCTGAAGACTTTTACTCAGTCCTTAATCAAAAAGTTGAGTTAATTTAAATTTTACATGGGGAAAAAAGCCTCTGTTTTTTTTATCACTTAACAGTATGTCTGTATGCTCATCCAAGTCTTGTACTTGGGTTGAGTTTATGAGAATTCTGCCATTGAGTAAATGGAAATAAAATAGAGCTTCATCTAAACTATTAAATTCAATGAATCAATTTTTTATTCAGCTCCATTTCTGTGTAATTCAGAGCACGGTAGTTTAACAGATGGAAGAAAGTACCACTCTAACAGCCTGTATTTAGAGAAAAAATATGCTAGAGGTTAATGAACTTGAAAAAAGTTTTGGGTGAGTTGTTAAGATATCTAAAGTTTTGATTTAGCAGAACTTTATTAATAATGATTTGTTGTGATAGTTAACCAAATGGCTTACCACGCTCCTTTTAGCAAAGGGCTGATTATATGCAATAAAACTCTGGATATCTTGGAGGAAGTCTGACTAGCCAATGAATTTTTGTGAAAATACATGGTTTGTAAAAATCAGCACTATTTACTGCTTTTACATAGTGTGGCACCTCTGGGAAGGTAGCTAACATACAGATGACTCAGATATCTTTACAGTCTATGGTGTCAAACTCAGGAATTTTGTGAGCTGCAAATCGCTGGAGGCTGGGAACAGTGTTTTGGGGCAAGTAATGCCCAATGCTGGCCCTGTTCTATCAGTCTTTAGTAGACATCTGCTTTTATCTGCTTTTTGAGACAGGCAGTGAATTAGTACAGCTTCTTTGTTTGACCGAGTGTGGCCACTCTTCTGAGATGTCCTAATCTTTGTTTATTTTTTATACTTCATGTTTATATTATGTTTTATGATTGTAAGTATACATTTTCGGTGTTAAAATGTTTCTATGCTGGCATATGATCATGGGAAAGATGTGTACGTTAAAGCTTAGGAAATTGAGTTACATGAAGGAAAAATAGTTGGATCAAATTCTATGATACTACTTAGGGTTTTTTTAATATTCTCTTTATCTTCTTTCCAGGCACACAGTAGGTGATGCTAATGTCAGAAGTGGTGGTTGAAGGATGAGATATGTATTACTTCTGAACAATTACCCCCTGGTCCCTGCATATATATATTGGGTTTGAGATCTTTTCATACTGTCTTCCGTTTTCCCCAAGTCACAGCGGAAAAGATACCCAACTCAAATTACACTTTTTCTCAGCCTGTACTCTCCTTCTCAGATCACTTCTGGTGGAACAAGCTTACTGTACTAGTGAAGGGTCAAGATTTACATTTCTCTGGTATTACAGTTCTGTGTTGTAAAGGCCAGTGTGTTTTTAATGTGCGGTATATCCATAGTTGTCATATGTGAACTTGATTCACTTGCAGTCTGTCCTCCATTCTTTATTCCCTTCACCTGAAATGGCAGTTGTGCCAGAGAAAATACTCACTTGAAGGGTAGTGGTAATAGTAATCCTATGGGGCTTGTGGAATTGTTCACTGGCATTTGCCAAGGAAAACAGATTTTAAGCTCTAGAGTCCTGCCTGTGGGAGGTCGCTACAGAAATTGCACTGATTCAGTGCATCTCTTGGGTATTCTGGCCTTGGCCTCATATTACTGATTTCCCTGTTTTCAGGACAGAACCAGCTGGTCAACTGCAAGTCTCCTCTAAAAGCTGGACTTGAGGTAGTCCTGTACTGCTGTTACATCATTGTGGACGATGTTTCTGTTGCCTTGCATGAACTTTCTTTGTTCTAGCAAAAATTATATATAGCTGAGGAGTTACAGAAATAATTTTTTGCTCTGTATGACTTTGTAAGTTACTAATGAAGAAAGTTCTTTACTAACCCACTGATTCTAAGCTTGGATATTGTGAATAAATAGAATAATGAAATGAATACAAAAACTTTAGATTTTAGTATACAAACATGAGACAGTAAAGATCATATTAGGATTAAATGAGAGCATACAAACTATGTCTTAGTGAGAAAAAGAAAGTGCTCTGCGGAGCTGTACTCTTCTTCAGGAGTCCCACTTCTTTTCTTGTATCCCAGTTTTCAAACCCCGTTGATTGATTAACTGCTAAACAGCTTCTAAGTTAACAAAATGTACTTGTTAAAAAAATCAAGAAAGAGGTTACAATTAGCTATTCTAAACCATTGCACAGAGTTTAAATTTGCCTTTTCCTGTCACCTTTGTTTCTGGAGCAATATGTTGCTTAGAAATCTTTGCTATTAACATGCCTTCCTGCTATTGAATCTAGTTAGTAATTCTAACATGTATGTTTTCAAATAACTGGGAAAATATGGAAGCTTTGTAGTGTAGTTTCAGTTGTCAGTTGTAATTTTGTAGATGTCACTGTGTTACGAATCTGACCATACTTGCATAACTTTTTTGTAGGTTTGTTAATCCTAGTTTTGACTTTTGTATTTACTTATAGTCGTTTCCTTAGTAGAAAAATCTTCTGAAATTACTTCTAAACCAATTTTAAGTTGTTACTTTGACATGGTTGGGTCTTGCTGATTAAGCTTATCTGAATCTGTTCCTCAAGGCATATAAAACATACAGATCTATTGTTCTTGGCTCATGAGAGAGTGATTGTTAAAAATCATGTCGGTATGCTAGTGGAAAAGATCACATGAAAGATGCAAGACCCTAACAGCTTGCAAAGATTTTAGCATGTCATCTAATTCAATAAAAACTTGCACTTTTCCAGTGTAATGCAATCATCATTAAAAAGCCTTTCCTCTTTTTGTTACAAAACAAGTCAGAATTTATTACTTGCTTTGGTTTGTCAGATGTAGTTCTTGTTTTTGTATGCCAGAACAGTTAAATCTTAAGAATTGGAGGAATCACAGAATTTCAAAATTGAACTTTTTCTGTGTCATCATGTGTTTTCTCAGACATGGACATAGGTAGGGGGCTCGAGATACACTTGGATGTAATGCCATCTAAAACTGAATGGGAGATGTAATGGAATAGAATTTGAGCAGATGTTTTATTTATTATTTACTGTCATTGTTTGCGTATAGAAAATGTTACAAACAGTACTGAATGGCTTCTAGGTGAAGAAAAGTTACTTACCCAGATAACAAACTGCGCTTCTCTGTTCAGTTAAATGTGATATGTCAGGGTAAATGAATGCCTGTGCCACTTCCTTGAAGGATAAAAGTGGATAAGGGGATATTGTTGTTCATCTTTTCAGTTATGTGATATTTCTTTTCTCCCTCATTTTTACAAATTAAATGTTATCTAGAAAGCAGTGTATCAGAGACCATGGTATTTGGGGAGTACAGAGGATTTCAGTAGTGCCTTCCTGCTATGCACAGGTCTGCCTAGCAGCCTCTTGTTAATTTCAACAATACCATTAACTCTAATTGTAGTGCATGTATAATAAATAAAGCACATAAATCTATCATTCCACATCCAGGTTCCTGTGGCATTATTTAATCACAGCTTTGCTGTTGTGCTTTATGATGTCACTAGCATTCCTTATTAGAATTGCTAGACTTGATGTGTACCTAGACATCAGATTTCCCATTTAATCTATACTATTAAATTCTAAAACAGAAATTAACTTCTCGATTTGTAGGATTTGGCTTTACATAGCCAGCAAGGTACTTGCACAGTGCCTGATATTATCTGTTGTGTGTTTGAGCGTTTGTTGTTGTTTCAATTTTTTTCTAGGAAACGGTAGTTAGCAGCACACTTTCTCTAACAGTTTTAGCACATCACAAGAGTCCATTGACTCTGCTGGAAGGAAGATAACAGTCAAAGAAATGTTGTTGCTAATATTAAATGACTGAGATACTGTTTTATGTTCCCAGAGTGGCTGACTGACGAAAGGACCAATAGCACTTACACTGGGGAGGAGGGAAAGGGGAAAAGCAGAAATGAAATGTAAGCAGTGATTGATTTTTTTTTTTCTATATTTGCTAATTTTACACAAAACCATTATTTTAAGATGCAGGGCGGGAGTGATAACATGAAACAACTCTGGTAACTAATAAACTTTTTAGATCTTGCTTCGTATGTTTACTTTTCATTAAATTTAGGGACGGTTGCAACAGTGTTGTTGCGATTCAGTCAACATTTATTTCTATCTGTTTTTCATATACAAAGGCATCGGGATGCCAGAAAATAAACTGTTAACGGAGAATTAACTTCTTTGGCATGCTTTCATACTTATCTTCCAAATTAAAGAAAATGAAATGGGCAGAAGCAGAGTGTAGATTACCTCCTTTTTGTCAAAAATGGTGGGAATTTGAAAATTAATAATA